GCAGGTGTGACGATTTCTTTTTATCTACCACATGTATAAAAAGATATGCGTTACTATGCACGGGCATTATAACAACATACGAAAATCTTTCTGTACATATGGGATGATATGAAATCGCCCCTGTGTATTATGAAGTGCGTTTTGTCCAAGCAAAACAAACACTTTTAAGCGTCGATCCCCTCAAAGGAGGATACCGGCTCTTCTCGAGGGTATCTCAAAGGATACAAATGAGGATCTGCAAGCAAATACAGGTACATGTATATGGAATTGGTGAAATACAATATTTAAATTCGTGAAAAGGTGAAAGAGATATACCTCCACGGGAGATCGCAGCAGGGGCAGCCTCCTCAGGGCTCTGAACAGGTGGATGGCCTCGAGTCCCCCGAGCTCTACGTGGCGACATGACGGAAATGCGAGCTATATTGGAACCCAAGAGGAAAGTTAGGGTTTTGGACGTGAAATTGGACAAGATATCACGAAATACAACCGAAACAGTGCATGCAAGGTCACAGTTAAAAGAACTTAGAATTTTAAAAGAGAAAGGGGGTAGACAGACCTTTGAAATCCGAGTGCAACCTTCCCAAACAAGAGCACCACCCAAGTCGGCAACAAAGAAAAGAAGAAATAGAAGAAAACTGGTCCAAAATCGCTGAAGAAATCGCCTGAAAATCGCCAAAATCCGACGTGAAAAAAAACCCTAAGTTCGAGTTTTATACTCGCTGGCTCGCTCAGCGAGACAGAAAACACTGTCTCGCTCAGCGAGACAGAAAACACTGTCTCGCCGAGCGAGACAGAAAATACTGTCTCGCCGAGCGAGACAGAAAACACTGTCTCGCCGAGCGAGACAGCATATTTTGTCTCGCTGAACGAGACAATGAACCCTCTCTGTATCGCATTGCGATGCAGATGAATACTCCAATGGGTACACGAGTCTAAACTGTATTCCCACCCTCAACAGGAAGTTTCTGGAGAATATTAATCTGAATATTCTTAAGGATAACCTGATGAGCTCTCAATGGATATATCAATTCAGTGATAAAAAGCTGAACCCACAAGAACAAGTACCAACTTCAATTCAAGATTTCGACAACGGTCAAGCGATAAACGCGACGCCGGGAAAACATTAGCTATTCTACGAAGAACTGGATAGACTAAAAGCAGAAGAGATCAAGCATTGAAGCCATTTACAAGTCCTTCCACACGATCTACTCAGCCGAGCATTGAAGGGATCGTAAGTAAAACCTATCTTATCCAAAGTATCCCAGACTCTTCTATAAAAGAATGCGTTTGGAATACTTTGGAGGGGGTATCTGTAGGCGTCGAAAAATGCTAATAGATATCCCAAAAATAGAGAAGATCACTCAAAGGGATCTCATATTGAAAATCAAGGCAGGAATGAACTGTCTCGCCAGCGAGACAGGCTTTGCTGTCTCGCCAGCGAGACAGGCTTTGCTGTCTCGCCCGCGAGACAGGCTTTGCTGTCTCGCCAGCGAGACAGGCTTTGCTGTCTCGCCAGCGAGACAGTATTTGCTGTCTCGCCAGCGAGACAGTGCTGAAATGGTCAAAACCACCTTGATAACTGCCCTACACGTGTCCATTAACTGCCAAGGGACGTGGGAAACATCGTGGGCGAAAATCACGAAACGTGGGAAGGCAGTTACAGCGAGAAACTGCCAGGAATATTCGTTTTCCGAGACAATATTTTACTGTCTCGCTGGTCGAGACAGCAAACACTGTCTCGACCAGCGAGACAGTAAACACTGTCTCGCCAGTCTAACTTCATCGTTTGTTGAGTTTTTTCAGTTATGAATTCCAGAGGCTATAAATACCCCCCTAGGGTCATTTCTGACGAGGATCGAGCATTTTTACGAGCATTCTAGAGCAGAGAGAGCAGATTTGAGTTTTCTTGCAACGTCTTGAAATTAAGCTTTGACTTAATTTTAAGAAGAACAACTATCTTACTTCGATAAGATATCGTTTCAATTTCTCACTTCGATAAACGAAGTCAGAATCAGTCAACCCCTTCTTCACGATCTGTGATTCGGCGGTCCACGAACCAAAGCGTTCCCGGCACAGGCAAAGTCCCACGAAAACAAAGATCGATAGACGATTTTTGTGTTTGTTTCTCAAAAGTTATAATTTTCGCTTTGTTGTGTAGAAAAAATCTTATAAAAAGATTATTCTTTCGAATTTGTTGTAATGAAAAAAAGTTATAATAAATTCCTCAACAGAACCGACTTTTGACTCAAACACCCTCTTCTCTATTTTTAGCTAGATGGAGACTACTGTATAATGGCGTTCTAACAACTCCAGTGTCATCCTTATTAAAATTTTTAAGGATTTTGTCCACATAATGAGACTGATTCAAAATAAGTCCTTGTGATGTTCTTATGATTTTATTTGTGAAATAATTTAGATGTGTACAATCACCTACGTTGTAAAGTTGTAATTTTATAAATAAGTCCCCAGATAAGTGGGGAAATCAGAGTTAGACACATACATCCATGAACCATAAATAGGCATATCTTCTGATCTAGCTCTTCCCAGTGACATTGATACACTTCAAATATAAGATATCACTACATCATCATTGAAGCGGTAGAGCATTGTGACATATATTTTAGGTTTGATCTTGCAGATGCCACCTAAATGGGAGGTAGCGGATAATGGATATTATGTTTGGTGTTCTCATTTGTGTATGGTTAGCTCATTTTCAACAGAATATAGGGTATCTGAAAGGAGAGCATAAAACTCTATTTTGTTGCTCTCGTTTGTTTAATTTCAAATCTGAATTCAGCTCCTTGATGATTCAACCAAATTTGCACGCTATTTATACTCAGAATATAAAACATGGAGTTATTGGATACTGTAAAAAATGTAACTTGCAGGAACAACAGCAAGTATGATCGATTATTTCCAAATCTCTGTAACATTTTTTGTGTGTTGGATTCAGTTTTCATTATCGGTAACATCCAATAAAAGGAAGACGTCTTACTATCTGATTGGCATCTGCCAATGTAAGTAAGCCTTGTACTCTTTTAGAAGCATATTGAAATCAGTTGCTTGTTATCAAGCAAGCGGAGATGGAAAAAACACATTGCTTTACTGATTTAGAGTATCTTGAGGGTTTCCTGAATGCTACGTCTATGTTGTTTTTTCACCTTCTAAAACAAATACTTTTTTTGTATAAATTAACAAACGGAAATAAATCCTCTTGCTATTTTCATTGGGATTGCTCAGAAGAAAGAAAGATCGTTGGGGTCTGTATGACCACAAATTTGTACTCTGAGTGGTTACCAAGCAAATGTGTGCTTTTGCTATGAAGAGGATGAGGAGGAGGATAGATTATAAATTTATAATTAGTCGCCAGCCATCAAATCCAACGAGGAAACTCTAAAGCATGGTTTTATTGTGCATTAGGTTCCACTTTTCTGAGATTTGATGAACATCAAGGTGATGGCTGAACTTCATGCTGTTGTCTGATCCAGTGAAGTTGATATCAGGAACTATCACATGACTAAGCAGAAGCATATTCTGCAAACTTGATTCTTTTGTTTAGTTTTTTTCTTTTTTTTCTTTTTTCTTTTTTGGGCAACATATTAGTGAGTGAATGCATTTTAGGTCTTTGCTACTTTTGGTCGATTCTGTTTGGTAGGGGTTGAAGGTGCTAGATCAAAGATAAGAAATTATTAGATGTTCTACTGATCCCAGGTCTTAATGCTTTTGGCACTGTCCTAACTTTTTATATAGTTAATGGTTTATTGGATATCAGGAGGAAAGTGGAGGAAAAGGCGGTTGAAACTTGAAACTGTTGGAGAGATCTGAAATTCCATTCATTAACAGTGATAACCATGGCAACAATATTGGAACTTCTATGTCAAAAACTTCATTCAACAAGAATGACAACAATAGAACAATAAGGAAAGTGATTTTTCCCATGAAAAAATAAATTTGGTAAAATGAGCAACTGACCATGATATATTCTTTTAATGGGTGCCAAAAATGTCCCTCAATTATGCCCCTTTGAGAGAGGTAGAATATAAAGGAAAGGGAATGCACATTTAGTTTGTTGAGGAAAAGGCATAGAAAGTTAGAAACTGTTGATAGATCTGATATATTATTTATCCACATGACAACAATAGAAACAATAATGATGCCTTTATCCCAACAATTTTATCCAACAACAATGACCGCAACAGCAACAATAAGGACAGTGATTTGCTCATGAAAATTATATTTGGTATAAAGAGTAACTGATGATAGATTCTGTTAGTGGACCCCAAGAAGATCACCTGATTATGCCCCTTTGACAGAGGTGGAATGTAAATGAAAGGCAATGTCTATTTAGTTTGTTTAGGAATGTATTATCAGTTTATGAATCTACATAAAAGGCTTACTACTGTTATTTTGTAAGTTTGAGGCTTTCATTGAGTATCCCAGTCTATAGAGAGAACTAGATTTATTCGTTGTTTCAGTTAGTCATTGGCTAAACTTTGATAATATTTGAGTATTCAATCCTATATTGAGGGACTGTACATTTTCTGCTTCGGCCAATCTTAGTCTTAGTGTAACAGTAATACTGCTACTATTAATGGTTATAATTTGTTCTGTATGATGGTTTTTTCCATCTTATTGCTCTTTTATTAGACTTAAGTGGTCAGTATTTCCCTTTGATTAGTTGATACAAACATAAGCGTTGTGCTCTGATATACAGACATAGCGTGTCGAACTTGGCAATTGCCAAATGTGTTGATCACTTTGCGTCTACATGTCCTGCGAGTAAGCTATGTGCATTGGTTGCTGTTATTAAATGAATAACCTACAAGAATATCAGATTTTGCCAAAAGGAGCACCACATAATCCATCTAATACATAATTTCAAGGTACGCAGCAGCACATAAAAAAGAAGAAAAAATAAAACTATATTTTTATATATTTACAGAATGATGCTTCTAGTCTATAGGAAATTGGTAAAATCATACAGATAACAAAGTTCATACCTGGTGGAGAAGAGCCACTGCATGAAATTGCACAAGAGCAGCTCTGGATTGAACAGCTTCTTGTACCTCGTTACTCCACCTTTTCACGATCTCCGGATTTGTCTTTTTCAAATAAAAAAACAAATTAGAAATTGGTAGACCAAATACCAGTATACCATTCATGAGCAGCAAGCATAGGATTGTACCTGGAGCAAGTGAATGCCGCTGACAAGAGCAGCACTTGCAACAACTGGATTTTTGTCGACAATGGCTTGTTTCAAATACCGTTCAATTTGGGTAAGGAGCGTGCCGTCAGTAATTCTACAAAGAACGCGTATCGCATTGGCCCTATACATGTCCATCTTACTGTTCATGTCTTTCATCAAGGAACTGGTGACAATTATAACCTTCCATAAACAAAGAGATAAATAAACGCCTAGTTTTAACATAAATCCACTAAAATATCTCTACCAAAAAAATTTATTATTGTTCTAACCTCATCAGCGGAAGGTGAAAGCTCTTTGATGATCAAGTAAACCATCCTCCTTAACCCATTGTCCTTAGACTGAAACAGTTTGGTCACAGCAAAAAACACTTCCGTTGCTTCGACCTATAAATTCTTAACGGTTAGAATTCACAGAGACAAGCATCCACAGCAAAACGAAATAGAAAATCCAACCTTGGAGAAACTTTCTCCTTGATTTAGCAGATACAGTAGTTTTGTTATAACCTGAAGGAAGGAAATGACAACAAAATATAAGTAAAAGATACTCGATGAACAAATCAAGGTTTTTTTTAAAAAAAAGATCCATTACCTGCGAGCATCTCCTCGCATCGAGTTGAGGATCATGGAAGACCCTAGCTTCTTGGAGCACCGCGCCCTTCTCGATCCCCAAAAACGGAGAGTAATCTGCACAAAGACGAAGAAATAAACAAAAAATCTCACAAAAGAACCCTAAACGTACCAAAAATCTACAGACTCCAACGACCCCAGACCCAAAAGCACTGGATCTAGAGCCAAATCGCCAAGATTCAAAGCTCCAACGGCAAAAACGCGAAAACTCGCGGGATCACGGGTCCAAAGCAAAATCTAGGTTAAAAAAAAAGAGATCATTGCGGAAAATTTTAGAGAACTGACCTTCGTCGTCCAGATCGTCGTCTTTCTTGATGAAAGGCTGCGCCATTTCTGGATCGAGAGATCGCAGAGAGAGAGAGAGAGGGAGGGAGGAAGAAGACGAGCTCTCGTCAGGTGAATAGGGATGCAACCGGGTCGGGCGCGCTGGTTTATAACGGGCGAGAAATTTAAACCCGCGAAGCAGACGGGCTTTCATTTCATGATTACCCGAAGCCGCAAGGGACTGGCTCGGGTTAATACTCGGGGCGATTTCGGGTTTGAACGGGTCAGTATAGGGACTTCTTCTTTTTCTTTAGACATAAACAGGCAAAGTTTTGATATCTAGGGAGTCAATCTAGGGAGTCAAATGGTATTTACCCTTGAGAAGCATGTCATTACATAAATTCTAGTATGTTCTCAGTTCACTTGCCCTACGCATTGGCACGTGCCTTGGGTGAAAAAGATGGGGAGTGATGTGCATGACTTTGTGATGCTTCAAATACTTTACCAACTTACAATGATATGGACTCCAACTGCATGAATGAATATACCAAGGCATATGTTCAAGTATACGACAAGTATAGATGTAATAGATAATTTCCCATGGGCGGCTATAGTATACAATGAAGTATGAAATTTGCTAAAAGTTGTGAAGATAGCTATAAAGGAACTGACATACCTGAATGGCAGCACTCCCTTGCTATCGGTGAGTGAAAAAGTTAATTATATTGTCATTTTGTGATATATGTAGTTAACATGTGACCGTCGTCTCTCATTGTGACACTATTACTTGTGACATATGTTATTGATATGTGACATTTATGAGTGAAATGTTACGTTTAGTTTTTATCTGTGATAGTTAACAATGTTTAGTGATATGAAATATTAGTGAGCTAACTTGATTGTTGTTTTTGAACCTATGGAATTATGAGATCACGAACATCAAACAATACGCTAGAGTCAAAGATTCAAAGCCACCAATGACTAATTGGACTCTAAAAGATAAGAAAGTAGGTTCATTAAGAAGTGCGATAATTATGAAGAAGTCAAAAGCCGCAATCCATATCTTGCATGAACAAGATATATCACGATACATTCCTGAGGAGATCAAGCTAGAGCATACAAGTATGAAGGCTAAAAGAGAGGAGAAATCAGACTCTTAAAACTCTATAAAAAAAGAAAAAAGTTAAAAAAGAGGAAGGGAGGAAATACATTGTTGCATGGATGAGACAAGTTTTTTCTTAATATTATTATTAGTGACATTTATATTTGAAATATTATTAGAATTTTTACAATTTACTATTTGTTGTTAATATGTCAACTATGTAAATTTTATGTGACATTTGTAGTTTTTATGTGATATTTACAGTTAATATGTGCATTTTACTTCTTATATGTGTCATTACTCACTGAAACTTAATTGTTAATGTAGAATAAAACTTATGAGAAATTGTCAATGTTGAATGAAGCTTATGAGAAAGAACTTGTAAGACTCGGCGTTGATCTGAAGGCCATTAAGGAGGATATTGGTAAAAGGTTTGTGCAAGAGAAACAACAGAGAGAAAATAAGGATGAGAGAGTAGACAAGCCTCGAGGAGATGAGTATGTGACAAGTTTTCTCTTATTTCATGTGCTCATTGTTTGTTCTCTAAAATATTCATTTTATTTGTGACATTTATGCAACCTGTAGATCTAATGGAAGCAAATGTTGAAGTTAATGAAAGAAAAAAGAGGAAGAAAAATAACAAAGTAGAGGTAGAGATAAAGATGAGTCAGAGAAAGAAGATAAGTATGAGAGAGTAGACAAGTCACAAGAAGTTGAGGAGGTAACGATTTCCTATGATTTTAACTTATTTCTCACGACACTAACATAAATCATGTGATCATTGTAGGCGTCTAAAAATACCTATAGGTTCCCGCACGCGGCTCTAGACAAAGAGAAGACGATGAACGTTGCTATCCAAGTCACAGAAACTCATTTGATGATGACAAGTGCATGAAATGAGTCAACGAACCATGCAAAGCAACGGAACTTCGGAATAACGGAAACACGAATGGATCGGGAGCTACACGTCGTTTACGAAAGATGAAGCGCCCCTCATGCCATGTTTACTCCACATATGATTCAATCATGGAAGCTCGTAGATCTCCTCGTCGGCTTTCCGACGCATTTTGAATCACGTGATTCCGAGTTCGGATGACGAAGATACGGCGAAAACGGACAGAACGCGCAGAATAGTGCTCCAGGCCTCGGCTAGACACCCATAGGTGTCTCGGCAAAAGTTTAGCCGAGACACCCATAGGTGTCTCGGCCAAAGCTTGGTCGAGACACCAAGAGGTGTCTCGGCCAAAGCTTGGCCGAGACACTAAGAGGTGTCTCGGGCAAGGCTTGGCTGAGACACTCATAGGTGTCTCGGACCTTGTAGAGCTGTTTTGACTGTGATTCGCTTTTAATCTGAAGAAGCTCAAAAGATGAAAGTTGTCTCCTTGTCAGATTTCTAACGCATTTTAGATCAACTTATTCCGAGATTGTATGAGAGGGATAAAGCCAAAATACCAAAGATAGTACAAACTGCCTCAGAATTCCGAGACATTGTTGGTGTCTCGGAGTATCCATCGAGAGTCAGCCTGCCGAACAGGAAGAGGAACAAGGAGCTGAGCCCATTCCAGTGGAAGAACAGCGAGCGACTGATCCTCCTATGACAAGAGCAGCTGGGAAAAGAAAACTCTCTGCTGATGAAGCCGGCCAATATGATAACTTATTCCGAGATTGTATGAGAGGGATAAAGCCAAAATACCAAAGATAGTACAAACTGCCTCAGAATTCCGAGACATTGTTGGTGTCTCGGAGAAGAATAGAGATTTTGGCCATGATTCGATTCGAATATGAAGAATCTCAAAAGATAAAAGTTGTAGATATCTTCTTCAGCTTTCCAACACATCTTGAATCATATTATTTGGAGGTGATATGAGAAAGTTAGAACCAAAATACCCGAGACACCCACTTGTGTATTCCAAGGCTTGGCCGAGACACCCATAGGTGTCTCGGACTTTGTAGAGCTGTTTTGACTGTGATTCGCTTTTAATCTGAAGAAGCTCAAAAGATGAAAGTTGTCTCCTTGTCATATTTCTAACGCATCTTAGATCAACTTATTCCGAGATCGTATGAGAGAGATAAAGCCAAAATACCAAAGATAGTACAAACTGCCTCAGAATTCCGAGACATTGTTGGTGTCTCGGAGAAGAATAGAGATTTTGGCCATGATTCGATTCGAATATGAAGAATCTCAAAAGATGAAAGTTGTAGATATCTTCGTCAGCTTTCCAACACATCTTGAATCATATTATTTGGAGGTGATATGAGAAAGTTAGAACCAAAACACCCGAGACACCCACTTGTGTATTCCAAGGCTTGGCCGAGACACCCATAGGTGTCTCGGACCTTGTAGAGCTGTTTTGACTGTGATTCGCTTTTAATCTGAAGAAGCTCAAAAGATGAAAGTTGTATATCTCCTTGTCAGATTTCTAACGCATCTTGGATCAACTTATTCCGAGATAGTATAAGAGAGATAAAGCCAAAATACCAAAGATAGTACAAACTGCCTCAGAATTTCGAGATAGTGTTGGTGTCTCGGAGAAGAATAGAGATTTTGGCCATGATTCGATTTGAATATGAAGAATCTCAAAAGATGAAAGTTGTAGATATCTTCGTCAGGTTTCCAACACATCTTGAATCATATTATTTGGATGTCATATGAGGAAGTTAGAGCCAAAATACCCGAGTCAAAAATGAATACATCATATGACTAAAGTTGCTTCGCATGGTTCGTCGACTCACTTCATGCATTTGTCATCATCAAATGAGCTTCTGTGACTCGAATAACGACGTTTATCGTCTTCTCTCCGTCTCGAGCCGCGTGCGGGGGCCTATAAGTAATTTTTGACGCCTACAGATACCCCCCTCCAAAGTGTTTCAGTCTCGTTTCTTTTATAGATGAGCCTGAAACACTTTGGATATGATCGGTCCAACCATCAGTCTGTGTAAAAGACCTGTAGCTAACTTTGATTCTTGACTCCTTCGATTTTTAATCTATTTGATATTTTGACGAATAGCTGAAGTTCTCCCGGCGCTGCGTTTATCGTCTGGCCGTCGTCGAAGTCTTGAATCAAAACTGGTGAGTTGATTTTGACGAGGTAACTTCCTCCCAAATAATATGACATCCAAATTACGCATCGTGAAAAACTGTGATACCTTTTACGTCCGTTGCGTTTGTTTTGACGAGAGTTATATTTTTTCATTTTCATTGTGTAAGAGTCTTATAAAAAAACTATCTTTTTTTTATTTTCATTGTAACGACTGAAGTTATAATAAATACATCAATGAAGACATCAACTTTCTCCCCAAACAAGATAACGACCACAGTGGGAGTGTTGAGTGCACAGACGTAGCGGGAGTTTGAGTTGGAGTTTCTTATTCCTGACCTTCTTGTAGTGATCGGGTTATCCCTAAGAATACACTATACAGAATTCTTTCGGGAACTTCCCGTTACATGGATCATCCACCCCCAGCTTCTTGCAAGACTGGGTCTAATATTGAACTCAGTTACGTGTTCGGGTTATTCTTAAGAATATTATGTATAAAATTCTCTAGGAACTTCTTGTCGAATGTAGGAAACAGTTTAGACTCATATACCTATTGGAGTACCAGGGAGCAGTTTAACCTCATATACCGGTTGGAGGATTGAGAATCAGTTTATACTCATATACCCTTCGGAGTGTCGGAAGGAGCAGTTTATACTCTTATACTTGTCGGAGTTTTGATTCGGCTTAATTTAGCGTTATGACGTCGGCTTCAACCAATGTTTGGATGCTATTTTTGAGAGCGAAGCAAGCATTAGTGGGATGAAGGATCCTCCTGTGGTACGCACAGTACTTTGGATCCGAAGTATTATCAGCTTCCTCCTAATTTGCGATAGGTGGTAGCTTGATCTTGTTGTTTTTCAGGAGGGATTCGAAAATGGCTGGAACGTCCTCGTCCTTGAAGGAGTATTCTTTTTGAAGTCTCGGATCTGAAGTCTTTTGCTGTCTTCGGGATTGTTGTTGCGACGTCTGATTAACGTCAACAACTGTTGCAGGTGCCTTCCCCTTACCACGGGAGGCGAAGTTTGAGTTCGGAGGATTAGCCGTCGGTTGGCCCCTCTCGGCCTTCTTCCTTATGAGGAAACGTTCGGCCCGCTCTCCGCGCATCTTCAACTCTTTCCAGGTATTGGAAGGTGCTACTCCCATAACTTTCAACACATCCAAAGAGAGGTTGTTGTGACAGGTTTGGAGGATGAAGTCCTCTGTGATCGGATCTCAGCAGTTCATCGCTTTATTCCGGAAGCGCTTGACGAAGTCGTCGACTGTCTCGTCGTCTTCTTATTTCTCATCAAAGAGTGTCATCTGTAGTTTGGGTCCAAATAGGTCTATCTGCGCCACCCGTGAGGGTCATCATGCAAGGGCATGCATAGAGCAAATGGCGCCACGCCTAAGAAATAGCAGAAAAAGTTCCACATCCACAAGACCAAATCGAACTACCCCTCATGTACTTCAGACGCGTCCATTTAACCCAAAGAAGATCACGCTCAGTAATCACATCCCAAAGGATACGAATAGAGCCAGCCAAGTTGCAATCACTCGGCATCCAAACACCCAATCCACCTTCATTCTTCGGTAAACATACACGCTTCCATCTAATCAAACTCGCGCCCTTTCTATCAGTTTTGTGCCACAAAAAAATGTCAAAAGGAGAGAATCAACATGGCGCAACACCATTTTAGGTCGAAGAAACATGATGTACAGAACAAGTGTATAGAAGACAAAACCGATTTGATCAATTTAGCCTAACCCACCAAAGATAACGACGGGTGTTGCGAAGACTGAAATCTTTGTCGAATTTAAATCAATAAGGGGAGTGCACGAGTTGATATTCAATCTAGATGAGAATAGAAGCAAACCCAAATACCTAATCAGAAGGGAGCCCTCCTCAAGGTTCAGATGACGACAAACCCATAAGCGGTAGCGACAATTACCCCCAAAAAACATAGTATTTTTGATACAATTTATTTAGAGGTCTGATAAAGCGGAAATCCTTGCAAGAATAGATTTAATTGTTCTTGCATTTTTCTTACTTAGTAGCACGAGCAAATATCATAAAATCGTTCATAAAAGCAACATGATATGCCGACAAATCACCAACTGAAGAAGGGGTTAGATTACCCTCTTGAGCAGCATCATCATCAAGTAGGCGAGAGAGGACCAGCAAGACAAGTGTGAACAAAGAGACATTATCTCCTTACCAAACGTCATTCGAAGAATTAAGAATTTCAGAGCTAATACACTTATAAGTGAAACATATAGAATGTTTCTTCCAAGCATGCATGTGTCCGTCTCCTCCGCTTCTCACTGAACCCGATAGTCCTATGCATAACATCAAGGAGAAACGCTCTGTCCGTAGAAATATAGGCCTTCCAAAGGTCCAATTTTATACACATCCTCGCGAGGCCAGTACGGCGATGAATTTTGTGACATAACTCGCGAGCCAATAAGATCGAGTGTGTAATGTGACGGCCTAGGATAAATACACTTTAAGATAAATCCGCAAGTCGAGGCATGAGAGACTTAAGACTGTTGAGTCAGTGTTGACCATAATCGTTGATGCAATCTGCAGAACAAGATAACACAAAGAAATAGCTTAAAATCATCAACACACGAATTGCATTCTTCTTAGGAATAAATGCAAGCGATGTATGGTTCACCGTTCTTAATAATTTGCCACGACGAAAGAAATTTTGTACTGTTAGAAATAACTCATTGGTAACTGGCCATGCAGCACAAAAAAACATAGCATTGAACCCATCTGGACCCGGGGCTTTATCCATACTCAAATCAAAGATCACAAACTTCAGTTCTTCAATAGTCACATAAACCTCAAGTTGTTGAAAAGAATCTCGAGGAACGCAATGACTATTAAGAGAAGTAGGTGACGGCTCATGCTGAAAATTATAATTGAAAAGTGTTTTGTATCTATCAACAAACATGGCAAGAAGAACATTTTGATCCTCAACCACCTACCACCCTATCTGCACCAACGAGTGAGGAGATTGCATTTCTTGCCCTTCTGTAAAGCAATGAAGCATGAAAAAAACGTGTTAGAATCACCATCCTGAAGCCAAATTTTCCCTCATTTACAAATGCATTATTTTAGCACTGAAACTCTCAATATTAGCCTTATCTTTCTCTTTATTCTCTCGTTTATCCCTCATCTCTTATACTAACCTATTGACTCATCTCAGGGCATTTGATCCTATCTTCCTCCTATCCATCCTCTCGCCACCCACTCACCCCTTACGTTAGTTCACTACCTCCCTCCTCTCTTCCATCTTGCTTACCCCTTCCTACTCGCATCCATCATCTCATTCCACTTCTCTCCATCTAGTATGTCTCCTTAAACTCACTTCTCCAAATTCCCCCCTTTTTAGTGTTACCCTCTTATCGTTTTTAATGTTTTTATCACATTCTTTATTTACAATTAGTTTCTACTTCTCTATGTAATATCCTACTATTGGTAAGTGATATATATCAATTTAATTAAATTAAACTTAAATAGAACGTTCTATTTAAAAATATTAGACATTTTAATAGAATGTAGGAATTACTATATGTTAGTTTGGGGGTGGATACCAACCTCCATGTCCGGCGAGGAGCTCCGACGAGCTCTGAGATGATGCAGGCGAGCGTGGCGAAGTCGACGGCGACCCCCCCAGGCGAGCTCGAGCCCCGCGAGCGAAAACCCCCTTGACCTCGGCGTTTTGGATCTGACCTCAGCGTTCGGATCCGACCTCTGCGTTCGTTCGACCTCTGCGTTCGAACCCCCCTCTCAACTCTGCGTTCGGCCTCGACTTTGGCGTCCGCGGACCGCTGGCGACAGGCTGTCGCCAGCCCATCCACATCGCCTATAAAACCCCATTCTTTGGCCCTAGGGTTTTGTAGCTGCTGAAGCTTCTTCCCCCCTCTCCTCCGATTTCTTCTTCTCTAGGCGGCGGCTGCCCTAAAATCGCAGAGGCGGTTTTTCTCCAGCTCTCAACGGGAATTTTGAGGGGAGATTAAAAGAGAGATTAAGAAAAGAGAGAGGAATTAAAGTGGGGTTTTAATTGTGGGGTATTTATTCTCAAGTGGGAATTGAAAGGGTTCATACCCTGTTATTATTAACACTGTAGCTACAGTGTTTATTTGAAAAATCTCAGTTTTGAGATTTACTCTTCATTTGTAATTTCTTGTTTGATTAATAAGAAATTATCTGTGTGGCTCCCGAGGACGTAGGCAGTTGCCGAACCTCGTTAAAACTTGGTGTACTTTTTCTATTCTGCGTTTTCTGTTGCATTAGGAATTTCGGCGTTATATTCCCAACAACTGGTATCAGAGCGTGAAACGATCTAGAAAAAGTCAGATTCAAGTGGGAGCCATGGCCGCAGATGAGGCAAAAATGAGACTTGAGAAATTTGATGGAACAGATTTCGGATTCTGGAAAATGCAGATAGAGGATTATCTGTATCAGAAAAATCTGTATCAACCACTATCGGGGAAGAAGCCAGATTCTATGAAGGAAGAAGAGTGGAACCTTCTAGATAGACAAGCCCTCGGAGTTATCAGATTGACGTTGACTCGCAATGTTGCGTTCAACATAGCAAAGGAGAAGACCACGGCAGGTCTTATGGCAGCACGCCCAAATATGTATGAGAAGCCATCAGCCGCGAACAAAGTTCATTTGATGCGGCAGTTATTCAATCTGAAAATGGCGGAAGGCGCGTCAGTAGCACAACACCTCAATGAACTTAATACGGTTACAACCCAATTGAGTTCAGTTGAGATTGAGTTTGATGAAGAAGTTCGGGCGTTGATATTGTTGTCTTCCCTACCAGAGAGTTGGAACGCTACAGTCACGGCAGTGAGTAGCTCATCGGGAAAGAAAAAGTTGAAGTTCGGCGACGTTCGTGATTTGGTTCTCAGTGAGGAGATCCGACGGAGAGAAACGGGTGAAGCTACAACCTCTTCAGTATTGCATACAGAGTCAAGAGGTAGAAATTCAACCAGAAACGGACGAGGAAAATCAAACTTCAGAGGTAGATCAAAGGACAGGAGGTCCAAATCAAGGAATCCAAGCAACAGCTCGAAGGCTATCGAGTGTTGGAATTGTGGAAAGACCGGGCATTACAAGAATCAGTGCAAGAGTGCACAGAAAGAGAAGGAGGCAAAGGCAGAGGTGAATGTCACATCCACTTCAGGAGGAGACGACGCATTGATATGCTCTTTGGAGAGCAAGGAGGAATCTTGGGTGTTAGATTCAGGAGCGTCGTTCCATGCTACCTCTCAGAAAGAATTCTTCGAGAAGTATACCCCCGGAAAACTTGGATACGTATATCTTGGTGATGATCAACCGTGTGCTATAGTGGGCAAAGACGTGGTGAAAATTAAGTTGAATGGGTCAGTATGGGAGCTGAAGGATGTCAGACATATTCCCGACCTGAGAAAGAATTTAATATCAGTAGGCCAGTTGGCTGGCGAAGGATACACCACAACCTTCCATGGAGATGATTGGAAGATCTCAAAGGGCGCAATGACAATTGCCCGAGGCAAGAAGACTGGTACACTGTATATGACAGCAGGTGCACGTTGTTTGATCTCAGTTGCAGCAGGCAATGAGACTTCAAAGCTGTGGCACCAGAGACTCGGTCATATGAGTGAGAAGGGGATGAAAATCATGCATACAAAGGGAAAACTCCCAGGACTGCAGTCAGTGGAGATGGATATGTGTGAAGAATGTATACTTGGAAAGCAGAAGAGAGTCAGCTTTCAGACAAGTGGCAGAACCCCCAGGAAGCAGAAGCTAGAGCTCGTTCACTCAGATGTTTGGGGACCAACCACCACTGCGTCGATTGGTGGGAAACACTACTTCGTGACTTTTATCGATGATCACTCTCGGAAAGTGTGGGTCTACTTTCTGAAGCATAAGTCAGAAGTATTTGAGGCTTTCAGGAGATGGAAAGCTATGGTCGAGAATGAGACCGGTCTGAGAATAAAGAAGCTCAGGACCGACAATGGTGGTGAGTATGAAGACACCGGATTCAAGAAGTTCTGCTATGAGCACGGGATCAGAATGGAGAGAACCGTGCCAGGCACGCCTCAGCAAAATGGTGTAGCTGAGCGAATGAACCGAACGTTGACGGAGAGAGCTAGAAGCATTCGAGTACAATCAGACCTACCGAAGCAGTTCTGGACAGAAGCGGTCAACACAGCAGCTTACTTGATCAACCGAGGTCCGTCGGTTCCATTGGAGCACAGAATACCAGATGAGGTATGGTGCGGAAAGGAGGTAAGACTCTCACATCTTAAAGTTTTCGGTTGTGTAGCTTACGTGCATATTAGTGATCAAGGCAGGAACAAGCTTGATCCCAAGTCAAAGAAATGCACTTTCATCGGCTATGGTGAAGATGAGTTCGGCTACCGCATTTGGGACAACGAAAACAAGAAGGTGATCAGGAGCAGAGATGTGATATTCAACGAGAAGGTGATGTACAAGGACATGCACAAGACAGATGACTCAGAGAGCGAGTCAATATTTGTAGATGCAGATGATGTCCCGAGTAACCTCTCGGAAGAACCCAATGCAGAGGGTCCTCAGCAAGAAGAGCCTGTTGGACAAGATGGTGCGCAGGAGCCCGACGCACCAGCTCCGATATTAAGAAGATCTTCTCGTCCTCCTGTACCCAACAGGAGATACATGAACTATCTGTTGTTGACAGATGGTGGGGAGCCTGAAAGCTTTGATGAAGCTTGTCAGTGTGGAGATGCGAGCAAGTGGGAGCTTGCAATGAAAGATGAGATGAAGTCTCTCATATCAAACCAGACGTGGGAACTAGCTGAGTTGCCCACGGGTAAGAAGGCACTCCACAACAAATGGGTGTACCGGGTGAAAGAGGAGCAGGATGGTTCCAGGAGATATAAAGCCCGATTGGTTGTCAAAGGTTTCCAGCAGAAGGAAGGAATTGACTACACCGATATTTTCGCTCCCGTGGTGAAGCTAAATACTATCAGGACCGTGATGAGTATTGTAGCAATTGAAGATCTTCATCTCGAGCAGTTAGACGTGAAGACGGCGTTTCTTCACGGAGATCTAGAAGAGGAGATATACATGCACCAGCCAGAAGGTTTCTCAGAAGAAAAGAAGAAGAACCTGGTGTGCAGACTCAAGAAGAGCTTGTATGGCCTGAAACAAGCCCCAAGACAGTGGTACAAGAAGTTTGATGGCTTCATGCACAAGGAAGGTTTTCAGAAGTGCAACGCCGACCACTGTTGCTACTTCAAAAGATATCAGTCCAGCTATATCATCCTACTGCTGTATGTTGATGATATGTTGGTTGCAGGAGCAGATATGAAAGATATCAAGAGTTTGAAGCAGCAGCTGTCAAAGGAGTTTGACATGAAGGACTTGGGTCCAGCGAAGAAGATCCTTGGAATGCAAATCACGAGAGATAAGAAGAGAGGTCTCTTGCAGTTATCTCAGACGGAGTACATCAACCGTGTTTTGCAGAGATTTAACATGGGCAACGCCAAGCCTGTGAGCACACCCTTGGCCAGCCACTTTCGTCTATCGAAGGATCAGTCTCCTCAGTCAGAAGAAGAGAAAGAAAGTATGGCTCAAGTTCCTTACGCCTCAGCTATCGGAAGTTTGATGTACGCAATGGTCTGTACGCGACCAGATATTGGCCATGCAGTGAGAGTGGTCAGCCGGTTTATGTCGAATCCAGGAAAAGCTCATTGGGAAGCGGTCAAGTGGATTCTGAGATATCTACGAGGCACCACACAGAAGTGTTTGCACTTTGGTAAGGGAGAGGTGGAAGTGCAAGAGTACGTAGATGCAGACTTCGGTGGCGAAGTTGATCACCGAAGAAGCACCACCGGCTATGTATCCACCGTTGGAACTACAGCTGTTAGTTGGATGTCACAGGTACAGAAGATCGTTACCCTATCCACTACAGAAGCTGAGTACGTTGCAGTGACTGAAGCCAGTAAAGAGATGATATGACTTCAGGGTTTGTTGACAGAGCTGGGATTCAAACAGGAGAAGAATGTTTTGCACAGTGATAGCCAGAGTGCGATACACTTGGCGAAGAATTCCGCATTTCATTCTAGAACGAAGCATATTGCGCTTCGGTACCACTTCATCAGATCCCTGTTGGAAGATGACGTGTTGAAACTGAAAAAGATTTCAGGAAGTAAGAATCCAGCAGACATGTTAACAAAGACGGTGACAGTTCAGAAACTGGAGTTGTGCGCAACTTCAGTTGGCCTTCATGCATAGATGATGATGGCGGAGCCACACATGAGAGGAACTTGATGAGATAGCCCGTTAACGTCGGTTTGGTTTCCAAGTGGGAGATTGTTAGTTTGGGGGTGGATACCAACCTCCATGTCCGGCGAGGAGCTCCGACGAGCTCTGAGATGATGCAGGCGAGCGTGGCGAAGTCGACGGCGACCCCCCCAGGCGAGCTTGAGCCCCGCGAGCGAAAACCCCCTTGACCTCGGCGTTTTGGATCTGACCTCAGCGTTCGGATCCGATCTCTGCGTTCGTTCGACCTCTGCGTTCGAACCCCCCTCTCAACTCTGCGTTCGGCCTCGACTTTGGCGTCCGCGGACCGCTGGCGACAGGCTGTCGCCCGCCCATCCACATCGCCTATAAAACCCCATTCTTTGGCCCTAGGGTTTTGTAGCTGCTGAAGCTTCTTCCCCCCTCTCCTCCGATTTCTTCTTCTCTAGGCGGCGGCTGCCCTAAAATCGCAGAGGCGATTTTTCTCCAGCTCTCAATGGGAATTTTGAGGGGAGATTAAAAGAGAGATTAAGAAAAGAGAGAGGAATTAAAGTGGGGTTTTAATTGTGGGGTATTTATTCTCAAGTGGGAATTGAAAGGGTTCATACCCTGTTATTATTAACACTGTAGCTACAGTGTTTATTTGAGAAATCTCAGTTTTGAGATTTGCTCTTCATTTGTAATTTCTTGTTTGATTAATAAGAAATTATCTGTGTGGCTCCCGAGGACGTAGGCAGTTGTCGAACCTCGTTAAAACTTGGTGTACTTTTTCTATTCTGCGTTTTCTGTTGCATTAGGAATTTCGGCGTTATATTCCCAACACTATACTCGGTATATTACCTAAAAGAAAATTTGTAGGATTGTTCAATTAGATACCGTGAAATGTGTAGGTAAATTAGTAAATAGTTGTTTTAGGAGATAAATTTGCAGAGAGGATAGTTTTTTTAGTGTATCTATAGGTCATAAAAAACATTTTCATTTATTTATTTTTGTGAATTAGATGAAGGGCATTTAGGTGTCATAATAGGAAAATAAGATGGAGAACAAAAACTTTCAGCGATAAGGATATTCAAAGCATAACCATTACAATTTTGATACATTATAGCAATTACAAATTTTAAATTTCTTCATTTACATAGATTTTAATGAATGGAGACCAAAAACTTTCAGTGATGAGGAATTTCAAAGCATAACCATTACAACTTTGATACATGTTAGCAATTGAAAATCCTGATTTTTTTCATTTACATGGATTTTAATGAATGATGTGTGTATATGCACCTCATCTAAGCACAATAATTAGATAATCTCATCATTATGTTACATAATCCTTTTCATTTATGTATGAACATATATAATTTTTCTTAATAGACAAGACCTATTTTAGAAACTCATGCAACCTTTTTGAGAATGCACTAGACACAACAAAAGTGAGTTTAAAAGTGATTACCTCATTTGATAAGATATTTTTTGGACAATAAGATAAATCATATTAACATATAACATCACAACACTATGGGATATGCATCCCATTCTCAGCCCCAACAGTATCCTGTTTCTATCAAAAGAGGTTCACGTGTTGATCATATGAACCCAATGATATTCTTTTTTTATGTTTTTCTTTTAAGTAATTAGAAGAATAATGAAGAATTATTGACAAAATGAGATTTCTGGGGGGAAAAAGAATCATTTAAGGTCGCACGACCATGACAAGATCCTCTCTTAGGGCAAAAAAGTAAGTCTTTTGAATCCAAATGCACAATGTGCTAGAAATCGTAGTATAAAGAGTTTTGAGAAAGTAGCCTCATAGAATATAGAGATGTTATGAGTAATTTTTAGAAAACTAAATAAATAAATAAGCTTCTACTTATTTTATCTGATCAAAAGTCCTAATAGTCCTACCTACATGAGTACTAATAATCTTCAAAAAATCTGAAATCCTATTTTTGGGACTGTTGACGCGTCCACCTTGTATCTATACATTATCCTTCCTCTTCGTATCTCTCTCTATATCAATCAAAACAACAAAGAAACAAACAAACAAAGAGCCCAGTAAGCAAGCATCTTGATCAATCAATGGCGAAGTGTTTGGGAGATGATGTAATGGCCATGTTGCATCTTCCTTTTGATGTATGATTAGTTAGTCTGTTTCGTCTTCTAATCATTCGCTCTGCTTGCCACCTGCTTTACTTCTTTGTTTTCTCCCCCTCCCCCATACTCTTATATATATCCTGTACTTATTATAGTTGATAATTATTTTGGACATATTGTTCTGTTTACTCAAAAGTCAAAACAAAATGTCACAATAAACACAGTGGATTCATTTTTTTTGCAGTTAATTTGTTGATTTGTCTGTGCTTTATAGTAGTTTAGAAGCTCTTGATGTGTTGGGTTGCATAGTGTTGTTTTCTGTGCAATTGTGCTTAGAGGCTCTTCAGAAGTTGCTGTGATTTCTAGGAAATGACAAGTTACGTGCTAGCTTATATTTAGTTGTGATGATGAAACAAGAGTTTTCAAGCAACAAAAAAGAAGCAAACTTAACTGATAAGTAAAAGAATTACTAGATATTAGAAACATATTCTCAAATTTTTACATACCAAATTGAGTCAAGCAGCCAGAGCGTTACTCAAATTCGGGCAAGTCCTCCCAATGAGCGACATAAACCGATCTTGAAATCTCAACAAAGGACACTTCTCAATCAAATCGACTCCATCATAAGCTTCCTTTAGAAACACAGTGCTCCTCGCCCCCTTATTCGTGATATAGAAAATCCCATGATTCTTAACCAAGCAAAGCAACAATCTACAAGGAAGCTGATACTCATTATGAAAAGCATCCAATTTATCAGAAGTCAATCTCTTCTCCATCATCAAACTCAATAGCTCGTGCAACACCGCCACCGCTCTCTTCCTCGCTTGCGGTGTTGCTGGCTCAATCCTTCTCGCATTCAAATACGGAGAAGGAAATGCTAACTTCTGCCATTTCTTCACCTCCTCCAGATAATGTACATTTGGACGAAAACCCGGTGGATATCTCATTTTAAAAGCAAACGGCCCCGAGAAATTGCCATCTCTAGAAATCACCTTTGATGGTTTCTCAACGCTTCCAAGGTCTAATCTTTCTTCGCGAGCAGTGACCGCAAGCGAAGAATCCCAACTCTCCAAGCATAGATACTCCAACCCATCAACAATTTTGATTGAAAAAAATTCTGGGTATTTAGGAATCAACAAATTCTTAAAGTTTTTGGGCAAACCGAAATCATTCTCAACGAGCTCAATCTTCTCCATTGGAATCTGGCAGTCCATTGACATCATCAGCAGCTTCCTCAAATTCCTAACCAAAATGGGCTCCATCAGCTCTCTAGCAACGTCTTCTTCGTTCAAAATCTTCAGCGCTTTATCAGTGAGCTTAACAGAGATCGGGGATCGAGAATTTGAGCCCCCTGAGACTTTGAACACTGTTGGGTGTTTTTGAATCAGAGAGAGAAAGTTCCATTTTTTAATGAAACCCACTTCTTTCTCGAGGTCTCTGAGGAGAATTGATTGGGTTTTTTGGGAAGCGATGAGGGTTTTGAGGTGGAGGATGAGGGAGGGTTTCTTGTTGAGGTCCATGGCTTTGTCGAGGTCTGGCTCTCGATGGTAGACTTTCTTCTTTGGGCGCCTGTTGGATTTTTGGGAGTAAGTGGAGAATGGATTGGATTGAAGAGAGTAGGGTTTGGAGATTGAAGATGAGGGTTTTGGGAGAAAATGGAGGGGTTTAGAGAAAGAGGGCATCGTTCTAGGAAACGGAGCGAAGGGGTAGCTCACTGACAAATTAGAGTTAAATCTCTCCAAAATCCATAACAATTCTATCTTTAATTTCCATTTTCATAAGTGAATTTTCATGTTTGGCACCGTCTGGCTTATAACCCATATATAAGCTAGGAGATTATAAGCCAAAATATTCGGCAAATTTAGTAAATTATAGTCTATTTTTAACAGTAGTGTGTTTGGCAAATGAGTAACTTATAAGTCATCACTATTGTAGAATGATCAAACAACATTTAAGGGTTAGAGAGGGATAAATAGAGTCTGAATTTTTGTGAAACGTGAGAGATATATTGGACTTTTGATTGGTCAAATCTCGTGCCTTATAAACCATTAAAAATTAAGCACATTAGCTATTTTTTAGTTTATAAGCTAAAATAAGCTATTTGCCAAACATGTCAAAGTGGCATTTTAAACCACTTGCCAAACATGCTCAATCACAAGAAATTTCTTTCATGTATATAATGTTGTTTTTTAAGAAACCACTTCTTTTAAAAAGTTTAATAAAAAGACTATCATCACGTATGACGGCTGATGAAACAGTTGAGCTTCGCTCTTCAAACATTTGAATCGATGTTTGCAATTAAGTAGCCATCTAGAAAGATGCATACGATTTAAAATTCACAGCTTGTTAAAGTTTAAAAATGTGATTATAACCTACTGCGGGTGACTTGAACGGATAGAAGACTTTAATATAACTCCCACGATTTTAGGTCATGATTTTATTAAAAAAAGGAAAATGCCTTATTATTAATCTAAAAACATGGGACCCTGTTTTTGGGTACTTGTAGCACCATCCTTTGAAAAAGGTGATTACATAAAATTGATAATTGTTCGACTAGAAATTGAAAATAAAGAGTTAAATGATACATAGGCCATATGTAATCCTATTAATTGCATATTCAACCAGCTAACAGTTGTCTTTTTTTTCACTAATGGGCTGGCCTTGGGGGTGTATTCGGTCCGGATACGGCTCAGATATGATGTTTATCATATCCATATCCGCTTATACATCTCGAATACAGATACAGATACAGATATACATCGGTAAGAAAATTTAATAACCATATCCGCTAAAATCGGATACGGTTACGGATATATAAGCGGATATGTATGCGGATACAACACAGATAGACAAAACTAGATAGTATTGAGAAAAACATAGTTCATGTGATACAAAAGAGTTCGTTAATATGTCCATTATAACTGAAAAGTTAAGATTAGACATCTTGATCATCAAAATTAACCACAAATCCAGATTAGACATCTTGATCATCAAAATTAACCACAAATCCATAATCTAAGAATCGAAACTATCATAAGAGTGGAAAATTATATCATATATTCTCTCACCTCACAAGTCAACTAATTGTCTTAAGACGTTCGCTCTTCAGGCTTGGTTTGGTGGACGTTGACAAGCGAGTATATATAGTTCCACTGGTATCAGGAGTTTCTCCGATTATGTGATAATTAAAGAGTATCCAATTATTCCAATCATATATTTCTATTTCAGTGCCAACGACTAAGATGAAACTACGTAGGACTTCAACTATTACTCTGATAATTACTATTATCTTTAAAACCACTATTGTAAAAACCGGAATTGCGTTGGTGAAAATCCTACAAGCTAGACTTCATTTTAGTCATTGGAATTGAAATAGAAGAATAGAATTAGGATAATTGGACACTCTCTAATTACCACCTAATTAGAGACACTCAAATCCGTTCCACTGATGAGATGCGAGTCATGAGAGTATATTAGTTTTTTTCCCTCTCAAAGTGATGATAATTCAAATAAGGAAAAATCCTAATAGAAATAGAAACATTAATTACACTTGACTTCCTATCTATCTATACTTCTTATAAAAAAGAATACCAGTTTCAAAACTTTTGATTTCCTTTTCTACCCTCACAATTTTTATCATTCATAACTATACCATTATTTATATTTAATTCTTATCTAATTATTCATAACCTCTTATTAACTATGCACCTCTTTATTTTCCCAAAATATTTGGTTATTCACTAGAATATATTAATAATTTATAGTAATAATAATTTTTATAAAATTGTTAAAATTTATTTTTTAAATATTAGTTATAATAAAGTAAGTATTTAATTATAATTATTAATAATAATATAAATAAAGGCATCTAATACTGAGAATTATTACCATTATGCAGTAAACATTATAAAAAAATATCTACATGTAATAGTTATTTAATAATATCAACAGTTTAATTATTTCAATAATGTTACTTACAGTAACGATTATATTATTATTTAATAAGTACACTCTTAAATAAATTGTTTAATAACATAATAATAAGCTGATTTATTCCATAAAAAATAAGCTAATTTAAATAACTATTAAATGATTTAGTTAATAATAGTATAACATAATTTTTTTAATAAAAGTGTAATAAAATAACTTATAAAATACTTATACATAATCTATTAAATAACATAATATTAAATATAAAAATAAATATGTTCACATGCAAAGCATGTACATTATACTAGTTAAAAAAAGCATATTTTACGTGCAACTGCACATGCATAAATACTGTTTGGCCTTGAGCTCGTTTGTTGTAATGAATTTCTCAGAAAAAAATCTGTGGAATTAATGGTCCCAAACTATAGTTTTTTTAGAATAATTTCTCAGTAGCAATTTCGGTTGTTTATTCTGTAACAGTTGAAAAAAACAGAGGAACTTGTTTTCTACCTCAGGCCTCAGCAAACATGCTGTCAAAAATCCTTTTTTCTTTTACTTGGATTTTGCAATTTGAAATGAAGATTAAAGTGAGTGTTTTGTAGAATCCGGTTGGGGGTGTAATGACCCCGATGGAGAGTTAACAGGCCTTAAATAGAGGCTAAGTTTAACCTAAGCTGTTTGGTTCGCTATTATAAGGGGTGGAAAACTCAGAAAACCCCTTCACGTCAGATTTTTAGCCCTCCACGTCAGCTTTTTTGCTTCCGTCCATTTCTTTGTGCCGCTTTGGTTCGCTCGAATGGAAGAGGGAAAACTCTGCTGAAATCGCCGTCAACTAAGATTTTTTTCCCCTCTCCGATTTCCTTCCCCAACCAAGTAAAATTGATGAAAACTCTGCCACGTCAGATTTTTTTCCTTCTCTGGCCTGTTTGGTTCGCTATTATAAGGGGTGGAAAACTCAGAAAACCCCTCCACGTCAGATTTTTAGCCCTCCACGTCAGTTTTTTTGTTTCCGTCTATTTCTTTGTGCCGCTTTGGTTTGCTCGAATGGAAGAGGGAAAACTCTGCTGAAATCGCCGCCAACTAAGATTTTTTTCCCTCTCCGATTTCCTTCCCCAACCAAGTGAAATTGATGAAAACTCTGCCACGTCAGATTTTTTTCCTTCTCTGCTTTGTTTATAAAAGTTTTCCTTTTTTTTCTATGCGAACCAAACACAAGAAAAATAAATACATTGGTTTCCCACCATTTTTTATGTGCGAACCAAAGCAAAACAATCTATTTCTTGGAAAAGTTTGGAAAACTCAAAACTTGTGTTTCTTTACATGGAATTGCATTTCTCTATATCAAGGAAACGAACCAAACAGCCCCTTTGTTTACAAAAGTTTTCCTTTTTTTTCTATGCGAACCAAACACAAGAAAAATAAATACATTGGTTTCCCACCATTTTTTATGTGCGAACCAAAGCAAAACAATCTATTTCTTGGAAAAGTTTGGAAAACTCAAAACTTGTGTTTCTTTACATGGAATTGTATTTCTCTATATCAAGAAAACGAACCAAACAGCCCCTAAAAGTTGTAGTTATCAGGTATTGACTGTAACTTCTATTTTAAACTAATTATTCTTTCTTATCCTATTTTATGTGGAGCTATATACTCAAACATAGAATATCCAATAATTGTAACATTCCACATATGAGAAGAGACTCAATTACGAGTTATGACGATATGGTTTATTGACTTAGTGGGACCACCGATTGGATTTCCATATATCTATATGCTTCAATTCAAGTTGATAGATCAGAGATGGAAAAATATAACAAAAATGCAAACTCTATCGCTTTCATTCGGTAATAATTATGGGCCAGATAGGATTTTTATTTATTTATTACATGATCCATGATATGAAATATCAATGGTTTGCCCATCTTTCAAAAATTTAAAATATTAAAAAGGGAAAGGAAAAAAAAGATAGGACAGACCAAGTAGTGACTTTGCACTTTAGATCAATATAAAACAGTAAATAAAAGTTTGGTCATTTTTTAATGAATCCACTTCTAGGATTTTAGCTTTATACAAGCTGTTTAGATATCACTCTCACAAGCTACACTTAGATCAGTTAGATCCTTGGCGAAAGGCTTGCCTATGAAAATAGTACTGAATACACTTTTAATGCAAGCTCAGTGCTCTATTAATTTCTCCTCAATTGTATAATTAGATTAGATAATGGGCATGTCATGTATCTGATGTGAACTCTAACAAACTTATCGAAGGTGCTAATAAATACAATTGAAATGAGCATAGCTTCAAAAAGTAAACATAACTAGTCTCATATCTATTGCTTTAGTTAGGAAATAAAGAAAAAAACATTAAGGTAACTTAGTTTCCATTGGTCACTAAGAATTTTACTTTCTTATTGTTTTCACTGTTAAATATTCCTCCTCGATAATCTTTTATTTTTATTTATTTTCAATGACCGCATTCTTGCGACACAATAAAAGATAGTTGCACGACGGCGGAAGCGTGCACAAATCACACGAATCGGTAAGCAACTGACAAGAGAACACCAACGAGCACAGTTCACAAAGAAAATGACCAAAATCACACACAAACACAGAGATTTACGTGGTTCGGCAAATTGCCTACGTCAACGGGGAGAGGATGAGGAGATTTCACTATATGGAGGAGAAAAACAACGGGTTACAACTCACTCAAACACTCAAAATAACTCTAACCAATGATCTATCACTCCCTCACACTAATCTCCCTCTCAAAGTACTCAAAACAATCAATTATCTATGATAAACCCCTCTCACTTCTCTGATAA